ATCAATGATAATTTAAATGTATTTAAAACGCTTGAAAGGTTTAAGGACGAAGTTACAAGTGAATTAAAGGAGATAAAACTACTCATACAAATAGAACCGCTAATAACAACATTTTTTAAACTTGGAGACGATATAAACTATTATTACAGTGAACTCATACGAATCTTAAAAGAGAATAACACTCAAGATTTCATTGATGACTTTGTAGAAGAAGTTTCCAATTATAAACCTTATGGGGTAACACAAACTTTAGATCGTATGCACTCTTACAAAACGAAAGGTGATATTACTTTCAAATATTCTGAGACCGTAAGCATATTTTACTAATTTTTTGCATACACATAGAAAAATAATTAATATTCATTGATTTACTTAAAGGTTTCCGAGCTTGCTTGTCCAAGCTGATTTTCCCAGGCAAAAACTATTCCAAAATTTTATCTCGTGCTTCATAATGCTGAATTGAAAGGATTTGCCATACTTGCGTTCGCATTACAACAGAGATTTAAAATTAAATCAAATGAAGGTTAGAGTGAATTTATTGAGCAATTTTTACCTAAAGTAAAGGTAAAGTATCGGCAAAGAGCCACCATAATCGCGGGATCTTCTCGCTAATGTACGAGTAGTGCGTTCAGTCGCTAAATTCCTACAGGAAACGAGTGTTTATAAATTGGTGAATTCGTGAAAATTCATAGTGAATACCTATAATTAAGCGAGTGATGGAAAGCAAAGAGGACTCGGATAAGTATGAATATATGCTATATGTACAAGTAGCTACAGTTCATCTTATGGCTAGCTTTTGGTTGCGACCATGGCCAATTGGCTATCGAACAAAATGAAACCAATTAGGGTACCATCGATCAATGCTTGCTCTTGGATTTCTACGACAGGTAGCTTAGATATGCGTATAGCTTGCGTTGAGGGTCAACACCCTCATTATTATTGTACTTAACTGTTTCTAAGTATCTAACTGGACAAAATACTTTCAAATAGGATTTTGAAAAGGGTTATCATGTGTGTTCTTGAAAAAAACATTTTTTTTCTCTTTTACAGCCTAGTACTGTAATTGAAAAATGAAAAATAATTAAGCCCACTGTTAACTCTTAATAAACACTATTTAACCCTTAATAACCCTTAATTACACCTTTAACACTTAATAACCCTTAATAACACATTATTTTGGTACATAATGGCAGTAAAACTTTATGATATAAAATTTGTCATCAGTCATTTGGATTATAAGCTACCATAAATTTCACATGACTGCATTACATAATCGCAGTGATTAATGTGAAACTTGTCACAAACACATAATGAAATTCCATACTTAACAGGAGCAAATCCTAGGAGCGTGAGATTTGTTCGGAGGTATTTGGACAGAAGTCTTTTGCAATAGCTGAGTACACTAAGTAATTTTCGATAATTGTTCAAAATAAATATTTTCTAATTACCTGATGAACAATAAAGCATTTCAAAATTTTATTAATTTTGTCGTGATTGTGACAAAATTTCTTGTATCTTTGTAAAATTAAGGAGGCTGTAGCGATGCAAGGTGGTTCTGTATTAATGCGCTACATGCGCAAGTCTATATGCGTTACGCAGCGCACTGCGTTAGCATGGCAGAAGATAGAGAAAAGTGTTGGACTCTTAATATCTTTTTTATTTGCCTGGAAACACCCACTTATAATTATATCATTCGAAAGCTAATGAAATTTCCTATAACATATGTTAATTTCATTAACTTGTAAAGAGATTTAAGCTCACAGTACACTAACAACTGCCACATCTCATTTGATTCAATGTTAAATGGCCTAAACTTTGAATTTCATTATTTCCCAAATTTGCATGGAAACCCCAAATTTTTTTTACCAAAAACCTTGTAATTTCATGAACTATCAGTGGTTAAAATTTCACTCCGGTCTAAAGATTTTTTCAATTTCGCTACAACCTCCTTAAGTAATGAATAAACAATATTTTGCAAGTACTTTCTGCCTATAGGTATGATAAAAAAAAACCCTTGTCACGAGACTATGTCGCGCGCTGATCCCCCATTTAATTTCCAAATTCGCGGAAGATTTAGTACCATCAAATTTTTGAGATGATTTTTGGAAATTAGATTTCCTGAATATCTATTTCTAAAAATCTGTAAAACATTGTATAGTTAAACGTTTTTCTATGAACAAAACAAATTATTACAAGGTAAAATGCTCAAAAACAAGGTTCTTTAGAAATCGAGTGAAACTGATTTCTTATTAACCAAGCCCTTTACTTTTACTGTCGCATTTTCGGGTTTTCTGTTATAATTATGTCACTAATACTAAACGCATTTTGAATGACCTAAAAATGATAATTAATTGGTTCGAAAAATTTAAAACAGCTTTCAACCCACCACAAATAAGATAATATAATCTTAAGCCTTCACCACTAGATGGCGATTACCATCGTCCGCAAACATGCAAGTGGCTGAATCAAAATAATGGTATAAATTACGGTTACATATATGCTGACAGCATCATTGTCATATCATACAGTGATAAGTCAGTGCACGGACTTGATAGTAAATTTGCCTCCCAAATCGTTGTATTTATTGCTCGCGAGCCACCAACGGTCGCTCGAGCTCATATACAATTTTATATATTCGCGCGCGCGCGCATCCATTGTCCGCGCGCACGGTGAGTCCGGTCGGTCGCGCGCACCAAGCCTCGCGTAGCGATTCGCGAGCAATTTTCCGAAAAGATCATTCATCGGGATAACGGCAGCGGCGGCGGTGGCGATAATTATCATCGAGACCGAACGGCCGACTACGTGTGTATACCTACGTAAGTTTTATTGTATCACTACACACACAACGGCTATTGTGCAAGCCCGTTTAATCATCCTCGATCTATTTCAGCGATAAACAACATTTTCCAGATGGCTCGAAATCTTCGCTAATTGAGCCGAGAGGCAGTTGAGCTGCTAGAATTTCAAAATTCATTCGTGCCGGACGATCTTGGAGTTGCGGAGCTGTTTTTCGACTGCGGTAAAAAAAAAAAGGAAAAATAGAGAAGAATCACTTATATATTCCTGCTCGCGAGCATATTATAATATACGAGAGAGAGAGACAGATAATACACAATAGCGGAAGCGAGCAGCGAGATGCACAGATTCGCCACTGCTTTGGCTGCTGCTGCTGCCTCGGAGAGCTCTTGAATAATATATCACACATCTAAACGGATGGTCTGCTCTATGAGAGCAAAGGTAGAAGGAGAGAAAATCCCTTCGGGCCCCCTTCACGTGTCAGCTGCATTTTTATATTCACCCGATACTAACGCGGAAAAGACAATCCTTAATACGATGAGTTTCAAGGTACGGATGGAGATGAAGATGTGCATGTATGACGATGACCGGCGATACCTGATTACTCAAGAAAAAAAAATTCTCCCCTCCCTTGCCTCCGATATAAAATTCACACAGTCGTAGAAACAAACCTCGGCATTATCGGGCCTTTTTATAAACAGCTAAATGTTTCGCACGGAGATACCGATCGAAGCTGCACACACAAGCTGGCTTCCCGAGAGCGGAGCACGTGCGCTGCGCTGCACTGCACTCGTCGTCGTCGTGAATGGCATCGCAGCCCCGCGCGAGACGCGACAAATGTGCGGCACCTTCGATTTTCTTCTCTCGCGCACTGCACCGATCTCAAAAGTGAATCTTTGGACAGATCTGTCGGCGGCGATAAGTCCGCAAAACATTTCGACATGCAGATCTTCTATCCCTATGTAGCACATGCACTTGTGCGCGCGCGCGACATTCGCCACCTTTATATTTTTCTATTCACGCAAATACTCGAGTACGTACCTGTGTATAATAATCTTCCGTTCCTTGTTCTTTTTTTATCCGTTTCGTTCGACTTTTTTTTTTTGTCAAGATGATACACACTCGCGCGCGCGGCGCACTTGATTACATTACGGGAAAATGGCTCGAATACTCGAGTGCGAGCGTAATAATCGCGGTGTATTATAATAAACATCGGGAGTTATGTGCTCGAAATGTCATTGGACTTTTTTTTGTCGTATTTCGCCGTTAGAAGATGTTTCCAATGGAGTCATCAATTATATGCTCGTAACGATCCAATAAAGAAGTTGGAATAGACGCAAAAAACAAACACTTGAATTACGTTTATACACGAGAGTTAAAATCAATAATGACGTTATATAGCTTGGTCGATAGATCGCGAACGGTCGTGTGGGCCCACTTGAGAAAAACAGAATAATAGAAAAACATAGGCGCGAGGCGCGTACAGCGCTCTGGACCGGACAATATGATTTTCTGCCGACTCATTGTATACGTTTGATACAGGTAGCAAAAAAAAAATTGCCATACCCATCTCGGGCAGTAAAGAGTTGTAGACGAGTAAAAGAGTCGAGTGATTAACGACTAACTCGATACAGTTTTGGTTTGCTTCGAATTAGTCAATCATAAGGAAGCAGTCGTCTCACACAGGTGCGAGTAAATGCCACCCTCGAAGTCAGACGTCGGAGACAGGCAAATTGGGCAGTGACGCGCGCGCGCGCGCGCACAGTCCAACTGCAGTTGTGTTGCGCGTGAGTGCACGAGTTGCTTTGTTGGTGTTTGTATCTATGTGTGCATAGAGTTAGACGAGGAGCCGCTGTATACACAAGCAAAGCTTCGAATCTCTCCTCATCCCCTCCTTGGCTATGTAACGCGTGCATCGCGGCTCGGCTAAGCTGCAATTGGAGGGAACGAAGGAGCGAGAAGAAGCTGCAGCAGAGGCGGTCAGCGCATGCGACTCTTGTGTATATACCTATATAGTTGGTCGTGCTTCTCTCTCTGTTGCATGGAAGGAAGGAAAAACAACGAGGAGAGCCGCAGCAGCACACGGCGGATCGCTGCACACAGCCAGAAGAGCAGCCGAGAGTCCTTATATAAAGTCCGCTGCTCATCCTCGCGTCGCACGAGAAAGACATATACTCTACTCCCTCGCGAGTGTGTGGCTCGAGACACGGCGGCTCTCGCGCGGCTCACTTACTAGTTATCTATTCGAGACTTTACTGCACTTGTGTGCTAGAAGCGATCGACGAGTTGCGTGCGCTTCTTCTCGCTCGCAGGAACAACGAGAGAGCAGGAAGAACGAGAAAAGCTGATTACATTTTCCGGCAAATTGGACTTTGGTGCTTTTCGTCTCTAGTCGAAGATGCGATAAGAGCCCCCGCAGGACTTGGAGTCTGAGTCGATTCGCACGTGCGCGCACAGGTCGCGAGGCGCGTCGTAGCCCCGCCGGGCCAAGTGCGCAAGCTCTCATCGACTCTCGCGGGCACTTTCTCTCCGCTGTTTCTCCGTTCGCTCGGTGGCGCCTCGAGAGAACATTTTTGTAATCTTCGATAGCAGTACATCCGAAGGGTGAGTACCGAAAATTCATAAAAAAAAATTATCAATAAATAAGAAGACAAAAGTGTGTGCGATAATAACGATCGTTGATCGCCATGGTCGATCGGCATAAAGATCGCGTGCGAAAAATTGAAAATCGGTCGTGCGGAAGCTGTACAAAGTACGCAGGCGGCGCGTCATTGACAGCGAAAGTAATTCACGGCGAGGGTATACGCACGCGGTTACGCGATTCGCATTATACCACCGCGCTGCGACATTGCGGCTGTCTCTCGTCTCTCTCGGCTCGCGATATCTTATACGGGAATTATCAATTATTATATGCGCGCAGCCAAGAGTACACACACACGAGAGAGAAGCCAAGTATAATCATCTCTCTCTCTCGGCTGCAGCGGCTATATAAGAACGTCACCTTCGCGCATGTAATATACAAACACATACGCGCGCGTTCGTAATACCGCGAGAGCTCAAAGGACAGAGAGAGACGCGCAGGTGTCTCACGTGTCACACTAACATAAACTTACAAGTACGCGACTACGAGTCTTGCGTTGCGTTGGTACAGGTATGTGTGACGCGTATACTACGTCGTCGTCGTCGTCTTCTCTGCGTTGAACTTTACCGTTGGCAATTTGGCAAAGTGATTCACGCGCAATATGCATCGAGCGAGTCTTCCCGCGCGCGCGCGTTTTTTACGTTATATGCCAGCAGCAGAAGCACCAGTTCGTTGATCTTTGTTATTACGATAGGGCAGACAGCCGCTGCGTGTATGCGTGTGCGCTGTGTGCTCGAACAAAGTGCGAAAAATGAGCCGACCGTGATTTAGCGAAAAAACAAAACAGAAAAACGGAGAAAAAAAAGGAGACGACGACGACGCGCCGGGATCCAGGCGGTGATTTTTCTCTTATCGTCGTAACAAGTCTCGCGCCAAGACAGAGAGATTGAGGCAAGGGAGAGGGAGAGAGAGAGAGAGAAAGAGAAGCGAATAATAATGTTATATAGACGCACGCGCATACACACTCGGGCTCGGGCTAAATATGGAGATGCGCGCAAAGTATATAAGAGATAATAATCGCGCGTGCTTCGAGCGCGTATACCGCTGAGATGCAGTACACACGACGCGTGTTCTTATATACATAATATAATATAAAATGAGTCAAGCTCGATGCATAGCTGCATAGCAGCAGCTCCTCTGTTGTCTTCTCGCTCTCTCCTTGTTGTCTAAGTATGTGCGTACTTATACATTATAGGAATACGTGCCTGATACATTGACTCATTATAATCAATGTCTCTCATCGTGGCGCGCGCGAGTCATCGGATTACGAGGCTCACTTATGGGAAAATGCATCTTTGTGTGACAAAAAAAGGAGAGAAAAGAAGAAAAGAAACGAAACTAATATCAGTCCGCTTATGGGCACATTTGTACCGACGCAACAAATCCGCGGGGGAACGTAACTTGCTACACGCGCGCAAAACATAATACAGTTGTCGAGAGGAGTAAAGCCCGAAAAATCGAGGGCCCGTTCGCGGACCCGTTCGGAGAGAGGATTGACATATTTATATTTTACGGTGACGTGCGCCGCGCTGCTCTGCGGCTTGTAAACAAAGTCCGTACGTACGTACGTACAGCAGGTATATAAAAGAGCGTGACAAAGGCGCCGAGAGCACGATTGAGCTGCGACGCCGAGATCCGATCGAGCTCCGCGTGCAACTGCAGCGCACAACTTGCATGCGATCGTGCCTCCGGTAATATATTACGAGCGCGGAGCATCGACGGAAGATCGCAAGCTCGAAACTGGAGCAGTAATCTGTTTTATTTTTTTCCTCTTTTCCTTTTTGTTCTATAAACCTCGGTTCGACGAAAACGAATCGATCGCGCGCGACACACGTTTTGCGACGTGCCGATCGTTGACGGAAAAAAACTTGTTGCTCTTATCAGCGTACTCACGTGTATATATAGCTCGCGAATCTCTCGGCGCGCGAGACACACACACACAAATACACAGGCCCATGGGTATATAATAATAAAAAGTAGAATCGGAAACGAGTTTTTTTTCTAACTTGTCATATTTTCATATTCGACCGCGATATCGGCATTGCTCAACAGCCTCTGCATGTAGATACATTTTTTACCGCCTCGTATACACACGTATGACGTACGATACATACTCGCGAGCGCATCGTCATTTGGTAAAAATTAAACGTGTGTATAAGTAGGTACGTGTGCTGCTGCTGCATGGAAAAACTTTTTGCAAGTGCACATACAGCAGCAGCAGCAGCAGCAGCTCGGGTCTGTGTGTATAGGCGCGCGCGCACGTCGCGTACGAATGATCATGCATCATGCAATCATTATACCCAAGAGATCGATTTGTCTGTGCACGCGCGCGCTCGCGTCCGAGAGAGAGAGAGAGAAAACATGTTTCTTCGGCTCCCACAGCTTTGCACCGCTGCATGTGTTCGAAACTATTACATCGTATATAACCCTTTTCAAGGCCACCCCCTGCCTTTTATCATACATAAAGTACATAACGCGTACTGCACGCGGCATACGCACAAACGTACGATATCTACTTTATAATATGTATAAAACTATATTGTTTGCCATTTTTCTCTATCATCGGGGCATTTGTATATAGCTCGAGCAGCAGCAGCAGCGTGTGTGCTTTAAAGAGCCATGACCGTTGCAATTTTCACGTCTGGCAGGCATCGATCTGCGGACGAGTTGCTGCCGCTGCTTCTTTGCACCGCTGCATCTAGATATTTTATCTCTCTCTCTCTCTCTCTTTCTTTTTCTCGTTCTCGGTGGTAACGAGCTCGAGTCATTGAAAAATAAAGAATTAAAAAAAATGGTTTATTTATAAATCAGCCGCGCACGACAAATTCTTATAATATTATATACGCTGCTTATACGTGTTGAGTGCGGGGGACGATGAAACGGCCGAGCGACTATTATATACATCCTAAGCGGATTCTCATAATACCAAAAATACGATTGCCGAGCTCGAGATGCGTAAGCTGCTGCAGCTCGGATACTGCCACGATGTTCGATCGCGAGAAAACATCTAGATATTCTAGGAAATTTTATTTATCTATCCTTTTTGTCATCCATCTGGCATTACGTTCACGCTCGCTTTTTAATTGCTCTCGAGCGACGACTCGGACGGGATCGATCGTTATAATCGCGAGGAATGTTTACGATATTGTTTGTTAGGAAACACGGCGAACCAAATGCATAACATGCATTCGTAAAACGCATGAAACGCAGAAAAAGTATGGAGTCGCTCGCGAGCTGGGAATCGAGAGCGGATGATGTTGTTATTGTCGATTTTTTTTCCGTGTATAAGTCGATTCTCACTCGACGCGTATACGCGTGTCGCGTCCGCTAATGAGCGGCTCAATTATCAAGAACTTGCGCGATCGGGGGCGGCCAAGGGATTTGTCGCGCATTGAAAAATGGTAATATTTCTAGCGAGCGTTACACACATTTGTCCTGGCGATCCTGCGCGCAGCGATTCTCACGGGGGCGCGCAGCAGACTCATACATATTGCATCCGTTCGCGCATACAAATAAAACGTGCTATATATAAATTTCCAGCGTACCTCGTCGGGTAGTAGTTGATATACACGTACAGACAGAGAGCCGTAATCTGCCGCGCATTTGTCACCGCGCGGCTCGAGCCACGAGTTCTATATTGACTTTATTCTTTCATAAATTTTCGAATCGAAAACTATCATCGACTCGTCATCCGATCGGCGCACGACGATTCTTTATCTCTCTATTTCTTTCTCTCTCTGCGGCCACTCGATCTTGGCGGGCTCGCATCTCTCGAAGGACACGCAGCAGCGCGCATCAAAGGACGTAGCGCGTATAATACGCGAGTTTTCCATTATAGATCACACTCATCATCGTCGTCGTCGTCGTGCGGTCTTTTCCATCATATCGCGCGTCGTGTGATGCATCCACAAGCTGTGCTGTGTGCCACCGAAGCCGCGATCATCATCGTTGTATATATAAAATACGCATTATTGGTTATTCTTAGGCTCGTTTACCGAGCGCCGATATTGCCCATAATTTAACGAAATATGATCGTTTTCTCTCTCTCTCTCTCTATAATAACCGATTGAAAAGCACATCTACCTGCGCGCGAGTTAATACGAATGCAGATAAGGAGGCACTTTTAATTATGCTAATTGCTCATTTATGATTGAGTTTTATGGCTTTTAACGTCAACCGCGCGCGAGCTTATGGATACACATACACTTTCAATATGCACACATAAAACTGCTGCCGCTCGCGAACATCTGTGCGTACATATCGCGCTTAATTAGTCACGTAAACATTACGAAAGCCATGTAGAAACAATATCGAAAAATAGAGTGATCGTCATACGACGCGGCACGTGGATGCACATACAGTTTTTCATCTTCGTATCGTTATTATTTTATATTTTCCCGACGGAATTTCCAGGAATGAATTTTCCTCGCGAGCTCGGCAATAGTAATAATCGACGTAATTATCCGTCGTCGTCGCACACATTGTCATGTGTGTCTTAAGATGCTCCAAGAGCTACACACTGATACACACGTGTGTTATCGTTTTTCGCGCGGCTCTTAGGTATACTACTATATAGCTACGAGTAATTATCGAGGCGAAAGTCATTTCACCGATCGTCCTTGGACGTTTTTAATGGTTTCTTCTCGCGCGGTTTGATGGCTCGACTCTCTGGACTTTTTGACCTCGCTGCGCGAGATCGCGCGAACGCCAAGCAGGCACAAAGAGAAATAATAAATCAACGCGTTCTCGATGATAGTACCCTGGACTGCACTGTGACTCGACTCGACGACCCTTTAGAGTTGGCGTCGTCTTCGTCCGCGTAACGAGGCTCTAAAAAAGTATCATCGCACGCTGATTGTTTTTTCATATATTCCGCGAAGCGATTGGGGCAGTGCAACAAGTGTTATGTAGCAACTCAGCAGCGGCAAGAGCAGTTTCGCTGATTGCTGGAAGAGTAAAGTTA